ACAGAATAAGCTCATGTATGAATCGAACACCCCCTTTCCGCTCAAGCTTGAAGAATTTCTTGAGCAAGGCATCGGTGTTCGCGTGGCCCTGTTGAGCATCGTTGAATAGCCTTGCTAGTCCAGTGGCTGTGAAATGGTGTACACAAACATACATTTATACAATCGTGTGCAAATCAGCATACACACTCGTACATACACCGGTTTATAACTTATGTATAGGCTGGTTCGTACCCGCCATACAGACCTGTTTATACTCGTATGTAGTTCTGGCACAAATGTTTTATCAGCTTTTTTGTACACGTATATTCCGATTATACTCATATATGGCCCTGCTTATACTCGTATAAAAGGCTGTTTATACACGTAAATAGGTCTATGTACGCGGTTTTATACTTGTATATAGATCGGTTTATACTTAAACACCGATTTTATACTTGTATGGGTTGTTTTGTATACCGTAATGTGCATCGACTTCAACTCGTGTTACACTAGTATAGTCTCGTAATCGTTGGTCTATACTCGTATGTACATATAAATAGCTGCGCGTACAATGGTTTGAACTCTCATAGACACTACCGGTGAATGGTTTGAACATGGTTTGAACCGTATAGACACTACCGAACGCTCGTGTGCTCATTGGTCTGTGCTCGGGTGTACGGTTTATCATATTCGCGTGTACAGTGTGTTGTATTCGTGTGTACGGTTTGTCATATTCGTGTGTACAGTGTGTTGTATTCGTGTGTACAGTGTGTTGTATCCGTGTGCACAGTGTGTTGTTCGTGTGTACAGCGTGTGGTATTCGTGTGTACAGTGTGTTATATCCGTGTTTACAGTGTGTTGTATTCGTGTGTACAGTGTGTTGTATCGGTGTGCACAGTGTGTTGTATTCGTGTGTACAGCGTGCTGTATACGTGTGTACAGTGTGTCGTATTCGTGTGTACAGTGTGTGTGCACAGTGTGTTGTATTCGTGTGTACAGTACAGTGTGTCGTATCCGCGTGTACAGTGTGTTGTATTCGTGTGTACAGTGCTGTATTCGTGTGTACGGTTTTTCATATTCGTGTGTCCAGTGTGTTGTATCCACGTGTATTCGTGTGTTGTATTCGTGTGTACAGCGTTGTATTCGCGTATACAGTGTGTTGTATACGTATGTACAGTGTGTTGTATTCACGTGTACAGTACAGTGTGTCGTATTCACGTGTACAGTGTGTTGTATTCAAGTGTACGGTATGTCGTATTCGTATGTACTTTGTGTCGTATTCGTGTGTTACTTTAGGTCGTATTCATGTCTGTATACAATGAAAAATATATGTCCCAACATTGCTTGAAACTCGAGACGTATACATTCGTTTGTACTTTCGTGTGGTCCATATGTGTGCGTACATTGATTGATATCGGAGTGTGCATTGTGCTGTACTTGTGTGTATATCAGTTTGTAATTTCGCGTGGTCCACATATGTGTGTACATTGATTGCAGCAATCGATTACACTTAAAACAATTAAGCATAGGATCATGCTAGCTATTCAACAAACATATGCATATAGAATCTTGCTGTTTATACAGCAAGCAGACACACATACTATAACTAGCTCAAATACTCGACCTCCGCCAGAGTACTGCAGACGTGAAGCTAGAAACCAACTGATTTGTCCACGAGGCAATGTCTCGAGATATAGCAAGCAGACACACATGCTATACAGACGATCGCATAGTTTGGGCAGGTATACAAAGATTACCATCAGCGGCCCTAGTAGCTGACAACCTTGATAATTAGATACACAGTTGAAGTTGAAGTTGCATATACAAGAGATGTAGGTAGATGTATATACTTATATAT